TTGTGCAAAAACGCATGATCGCACCGGCTCGCCTGGTGCGTTCCAGCCTACGTTTCGGTAAATGCTTGCTTTTTGAAAAAATGCAAATTTCCAGTTCACTAAAAAGTAGAAATGTTGCTAGAGCGGTCGTTCGTCAAAAAATACAAGTACGCAAATGAACTGAATGTTCATATACATATTTGGATGGGGGCGGTCGTTCACTGCAAAACGCACTCGTTTCTGATTTTTCGGTGAAGTTGAGTAATTCTCATAACAACCTGCAGGGAATTTCACTTCCAAGCAGAATTAAGGCCGCACTTGAAAGTAAAATATCCCAGCCAAGTTTCAGTCCCGCAAATTATCCGGCAAGCGAAATAGCCACTTCGCTACAAATATCTTTGCAGTTTCCTAAGTCGTGACGAAAGTGCAAATCGACGCTCATTTTAGGTATGCAATTTCCCATATGGGCGACAAACGTGCTGACAAAATTTCAGCCACTGTTTTACGGCAAGTTTTCGAGTTAGCGCAGTGTCAAGTTGCAAACTTTGACGTGATCGTTCGCGCTGCACAATTGCGCGCGACAGCTGGATTTGAAATCTTTAGCTTGCACATGCACAGAAAATATCTCTGCAAAGTTTCAGCTTTGTAACTTTCCTGGTTCGCGAAATCGTTTCTTGCCAAGGAAATTTGCGTATTTTTCCGGGAGTCAGCACGTGGGGTCCAGACGCGTGTGGAGAAAGATCTTAAAACGGGAGGATGACACACGGGATAGTAGCATATACCCAAAATTTCAGCCTTTCAGCTTACCTAGTTGCTGAGATGAAAGTGAGTGACAAAATGCACTCGCTTCTGAACACGCACACGCAAGCACACACAAGACGACTTCTTAACAATATGCGTTTTTACAGAGTGAAAGGGAAAATAAGGTAATGCAGTCAAAGAAAGTCACTGAATGTATTTTTTTTGCGAATATTAGGTACTGGTACGGTGATTAACTGGTGAAGTGGCGTAGTGACATATCTTCAGGGATGATGAGAGCAACGTTCTGCGCGAAAGGGTTGTCAAAGTCCTTCACGTAGGAAGAAGAAAATAAAAAAATTTAAGCGAGCGAATTCGTCAAATCATTTGCATTCGCAAAGCACACAAAATTCAGTTCCCGAATTCACTTCCGGTCACGTCTTAACAGACATCTTTAAGCCCACTCTTTTTTGCTACCCTACAGGGCGTTTGAATACTTGAAGTAATGAAATTGTGCTGCGGAAGTGAATTAAAGTCATAAATGTATTTTTTACTGTCCAAGATGGACAGGTAATCTCCAGGTCTCCCCTGAGAAACGATTGCAGTTCGTGTTCGAAGTAATCAATTTCGACAATTCGACCGGCGGTCTTGTCGTGATCGATGATTTGCGATACTCCGGAACGCTGTGTGATGAGATGGCGCAATCAAGCACAACCACAATCAATCCTCCACAAATCAAGCAACTTTTTTCGCTGCAGTATCAACCACAGACCATCGTTGTGAGTCGCTTTACCGTGTTCTCTTCGTGGGATAGTTCCGGATGAGCTGCAAAACACCTGCTTTACTTTTGTCCGACAGTGTATCTGTACCTGCTCTGCACTTCACAACAAATGCGCAGCACGCTGCGCCCTTTAACAAGTAAGAAAAGAGAACCCAGGCTGGAATGCACCGGGCTTGCCGTTGCGATCATGTGTTTTTGCACCAGACTTGAAGTACTCAAGTCGTTAACTGCACGAATGATTATTGCTTTACATCTACCTTCTGAGCTCACTAGGGCAAATCATCATGAATTTTGCATAAAGAAAATGAACAATTTCCGTTTAAGGGTCGTTCTTTGAAAGTAACCTAGCTGTTGAGTAAGCAATTTTCCCGCCAAAGCAGTAAGCGCCCGTAGGTGAGAACCACACATACCTGGGGACTGAATTTGAAATGTTTAAGCTGTACTCAGACAGGGAACATTGCCCTAAGATTTCAGTCTTCTAGCTTGTCCAGTTCCCAAGTTAGTATTTTCCCCGCCAAACCTTCACATG